AAAATGCAAAAGTACATTTTTAAATTGATTTTAAAAAAGTAACGGAAAAGTAACGAAAAGTTATTTTTCAAGTAACGGTAACTGTAACGAGTTACTTTTAAAAAGCGATAACTGTAACTGTAACTAGTTACATTTTTTACTCGGTAACGAGTAACTGTAACTAGTTACTTTTAAAAAGTAACTTTCCATTCCCTGTGTAAATTATAATAAAATAAATTCTATAGAAGTATTTGTTATGGATTGCTTGAATGGGTGAAATAAATGTTTTTAAGTCACCAAATGCTTTATCGTGGTTTATTCGCTTTATATAAAAATGCTTTGTTTCACACGCTGCTTTTTCGTGCGTTCTTACACTTCCACCTAACCTTCTCTAGAGTCCTAGATATCAGAGAAGCGCAACCGGTGTGCCGCATTCTGATTAGCTGACTGTCAGCCAATCATGACATTCATTCAGTGGTACTAAAAATGGCTGACTAACAGACGATTGGTGGATTTCATAGTTCGTCTGCAAACGACGCCATTTTTATTACTTTTCTTAGTAGTTTTGCGATACTGACTTAAGCCGGTTGCGCTTCTCTGATATCTAGGACTCTAACCTTCTCTAACAGCGCTCTCCTCTCCTTTTGCGCGATCATCGCAACGCGAACATTCCGGCCCCCTTGAAAGGCTGGCCTTTTAATGAATAATCTGCTAACGCTAAATAGCATAAATAAATGAAAGAAACTATACGTGGCTATTTGCCGATTACAGTCTAACAAATTCGGTAAACTGATTATATTAAACATAAGTTAACAAATTAAATGAAAGCTTTTAATACAGACGATTTTAAATCAAGTTAAACTTAAACTAGAAAACTTTTCTCCTACTCGCTATCATACAGAGGAAGAGGACAGACTCCCCTAGCTGCTCTCTTTAAAAGTCCTTTGTGCGTTTTTACTGTCACGACTCTAGCGATATTGTCACTTCCGCAGTGAAGTTCGGTAATACGAGCTGTTTCCCATTGCAGGGGTGGTAGGTTCTTTTCTTTAAGTAGAACCAACATTCCTGGTCGCAGATTTTCCAAGGGAACAATCCACTTATGCCTACGCTGTAGTTCTTGTAGATACTCCGTCTGCCATCGTGCCCAGAGGCTTTGCCTCATCTTCTGCAAGAGTTGCCACCTGGATAGACGATTTTCGAATGTGCCTGCAAAATTCTCTTCTACAGGTAAGATCAGAGAATCCCCAACTAGAAAATGTGCTGGAGTTATAACTGTCAGGTCTTGCGGATCTTCTGACATCGGACATAGTGGTCGGGAATTCATGATGGCTTCGATTTCGGTCAAAATGGAATAAAATTCTTCGAAAGTTAAAAGCTGTTTCTGAGTTACTGCATAGAAGTGCTTCTTAACCACCTTCACAGCTGCTTCCCACAATCCTCCGAAATTGGGAGCCCTTGGAGGCATGAACTGCCATTGAATTCGTTGCTGTGTTAGGTATCGAGTAATGGTGTCTTGTTCCTTCTGAAGAAACTCGTATACTTCTCTGAGATGTCTTTCAGCTCCTACGTAATTCGTTCCATTATCGGATAGAATCTGTTTGCAAATTCCACGTCTGGCTACGAAACGTCGCAATGCCGCCAAAAATGCTTCGGTTGTGAGTTCTGACACGAGTTCTAAGTGCACGGCTTTGGTCGCGCAGCATAAGAAGATGACTATCCATGCTTTTATAGTAATGGGTCGACCTCTTCGACGTCTTTCTCGAATCAAAAATGGACCTGCGTAATCGGTTCCTGTGTTGACGAACGCTCGAAGACTTCCGCAAATTCTTTCTTTAGGTAAAGCACCCATTAGTATATCTCTGCTTTCCGGCTTAAGGTGAAAACATGTCATGCAACCTTTAATCATCTTCTTGACTTCCTTTCGTCCTTGTAGTATCCAAAAGCGTTGCCTTAGGACATATAGCAGTTGATTGGTACTGCTATGGTTTAATCGTTTGTGCTCTTTTCTAATGATTAAAGTAGTAACGGGATTTTTCGAAGGTAATATCACCGGATGCTTTTGATCTTCTGATAAATGCGCATGTCGTAATCTCCCTCCAACCCGAAGAATACCAACTTTATCTAAAAACGGGTGGAACGCAATCAGCTTACTACTGTTGGAGATTGCACGTTTATTAATAAGTGCTGTTATTTCGATGGAAGAAGCTTCGGCTTGCACTAATTTAATGATAGCAATTTCCGCTTGATTCAATTCGTTTACTGCTAATGGTCCTGTCATCTTTCTATTCGATTGTTTGCAATTTTCTTTAAAACGCAACAAATAAGCGGTGATTCTCAACAACTTATCGTAACTTGAATATCTTCTTAAAAGACTGTACTCCGATTGAACCTGCACTACTGCCACTGTCCTTTTGAATTCTAGTTGCTCCGAGTTTTGTGTCGATAATATCTGTTTAGGCCATTTCTTTGCGTCGATGATCCATGTCGGTCCATGCCACCAGAGAGAATTATTCTTCCACTCCGATACAGTTAAACCTCTTGTCAATACGTCAGCTGGGTTATCTGAGGATTGTACGTGATACTAACTCGCGCCTTTTAACCATTCTTGAATTTTAGCCACACGATTCGCTACATAAGTCTTTAACAGGTTCGGACTGGTCTTAATTTGATAAAGCACGATGCTGGAATCGCTCCACAGATGAATCTGTTTAATTCTATCACCGAATGCTCGTACTACTGCCGTAGTCAATTTGGACAGCATGAGAGCTGCGTTCAACTCCAATCGAGGTATTGATGTTGTTTTCAGAGGTGCTATCTTGCTTTTTGAGCAAATCAAGACTGATTGTCGTTTGCCTTCGTCATTCTCTGATATAGCATACAGACAAGCTCCATATGCTCTCTCGGAAGCGTCTCCAAACCCAACGAGATCAAAGTTTTGAGACTGATTTCCTGGATTAAAATTTCGTTGTATTGTAAAACCGTTAACTTCTCGTAGTGAGCGGTAGAATTCTCACCAGGATTCCTCTATTTTCTTCGGTAGCTGATCGTCCTACTGGGATTTGCCACGTCTGCTGCATAATACACTTGCCTTGTATCAAGACTGGTCCTAGTAGACCTAGTGGGTCATATATTTGCGCCACTTGAGACACTATGATTCTTCGCGTAATGGTATCCTGTTCAGAAGTGTCGACGGAATATTGAATAGTATCTGTGTCGGCCTCCCATAATAGTCCGAGAACTTTCAAAGCTCCTTCTTTGTCTAACTTCAAAAACTTATCGTTATGTTCTACTTCGTTTATATCGCTTAATATTCTGCTACTGTTTGTCCGCCACTTCCGTAGATGAAACTGACCTTTCTTCAATAATTCCGACACCTCTTTACGCAATCTGGTAGCTTTCTCTTCTGTTGATGCTCCAGACAACACGTCATCCATGTAAAAATCGTGTCTCACTATGCTTCCCGCTTCTGGTGAAGTTACTTCCTGCTATGCTAATTCTCGTAGGCATCTGATGGCTAGATACGGGGCTGATGCCGTTCCGTATGTCACCGTGTTCAAACAATATGTCTTGATAGGTTGATCTGATTCTGTTCTCCATAAGATTCGTTAAAGATGTCGATCTTCTTCTTTCACCTGAATTTGTCGATACATAGCTTCTATGTCCGCACTAAAGACAAATTGATAAGCTTTAAATCTGATAAGGATGTCGAACAAATCGTTTTGCAAATTCGGTCCGATCCTTAGTTTATCATTCAACGCATTACCATTTGATGTTTTCGATGATGCGTCGAAGACTACTCTGATCTTCGTAGTCAAACTGTCTGTTCGATATACTGGTTGATGAAGTAGCCAGCATACTTCTCTTGATTCTGCATTTTCTGAGAGTAGTGACATGTGCCCTTTGGTTTCATAGTCTTCCATAAATTTCACGCATTCTTCTTTGCATTCTCCATCTCAGTGGCGTAGCCAGGGGGGGGGGG